ATTCGATGAACAGTTTGCACAGGATAATTTTATTAAATAAAAAAATCTATTTAAAATATCTTAAACTCCAATAATATATAAGCAGAGTTTTCCATAATAATTTGTCAAGAGTTATTTATAGGTATTGGTTTAAGCCAAACAAGCCGCTGGACTTGTTGCCGCGTGAATTCCGAGGTGTGTCCGCGCCTTTAGTTTAGTATTCTCTGTACGGCCGTGGGCGTAGCCTGCGATGCGACAATGCCGTCTGCCCGGCAATGAACCCTCACATTTGCTCTGCCGAAACAATTAGCGGAGCTTCACAAATCCAACCTCGCATCCTGTTGAAGTCAATCGTATTCCCGAATTGGTACTCGACTTACTTTCGCTTCATACGTTTTATATTGCTAATATTGACTTTTTAATCTCAATACGACGGCCAAAAAGGAAGAAATATTTTATAGTTTTATAACATTAAGATACATATTTAGACTAGATTTTGCGTAAAGACGCCCGATATTCATCTACCATGAAAGAAAATTTTAATTCTGGTAATTATGAAAACGGATTACAACCAAATTTGGTGGTTTCGATCAATGCTGAAACGGTTTACCTACTGCTTAATAATGCCAATTCGTTTAATTTTCTTTAAATTTAATGTATGCAGCCGTGGGTGGCGAGGTGATTGTCGCAATGTCTTTGCGACGGGGCCGCTCGATCTTCGCCTCAAACCGGAGTCTTGTGTCTACGAGTGAAGATGTATAATAGAATCCATGCGTTGGGTAACCGAGCGTTCAAGGCGAGCCACATATTAAAAATCTAAACAATATTCATGTTTGGAAAGCTCAGCGCCTTGAAGAATGTTGACCGTCCTCAGCGCGAGGTCGCGGAACTCGAAGGAACAAAGGGTTGTGACTCACATCCCGGTTGCAATAGCGGGAGAAAGGAACAGTTCTCAAAATAGAATAATGACCGGTGGACCTGGCCTACGCGCGTATCCCTTGACAGACTGTGGCGTGCAACCGAGCGTTATTTGTTCAAACTTTTAATACAAGTCATTTTAAATGTGGAGCGCCACGTCATAGAATGTTTTAGTAGTAACATTATGCCAGTTCGAGGGCGAACGATAGCGTGGTGTGTTTTAGTAATCATCTATGATTATAATTGGCGGACCTTACATACAGTCGTTAAATAAGTACCATGGTTGAGACCGGCACACGTTTCTCCGCCGACGTTCGCTCATTCGGCGGCCGTAAAATGCACTTGAGCAAACGCAAAACCGGCGGTAATCGAATTATTCCACGGTAAAGGCAATGAGACTAATCGTGTTACGTTGCCACGGGAAAATGACACTTGAGTCGCGCACGTAGTCGCATTTCGCCAACGTAGCACGAGAGGAAATAAGCCGAAATCACTTATTGTGTACAAACGAACGCTGGGTCGACGGCGGCTGGCTCCCACGATTGTAGCTTATTGTTTGAGGTGCACTCGAAGGTTTCTGCAACGCCTGGCGGTTGGGAAACGGAGGTGGCGACTTAGAGGCCAGAACCGGCTGTTTGAGAAACCATTCGAGTTTAGATTGCGAAAATTGTGGAAAGCTTGCTCGAGCCCGTGCTGAGAACGTCAAGAGTGCGTGAACTCGGTGGGTTTCGTCGTCTAACGTTACTTGAGCAAAAAGTAAATGATGCAGAATGTTCATAATTTATTATAATTGAACAGATCTAAGCTTATCGCCGATCGTTTTAAACGTAGCCTCAATTGACTATCAGAAGCTAACCAGCTTTAAAATAGTTCAAAGTTCGGTCCCAAAAGTAATTATATAGCACGAAGATAAATACGTCCTATCTAGCGCGGACGTTGCTAAATTATCTAATATCTTCCAGAATTTCTCAGTACGCAACCGTGAAAGCGATTTTAGTACAGGAAGTTTGGAGGTGACGCTCATAATGTTTCGACCGAAACAGGCGTGGGGCAATTACAATGCCTTTATCAGAACACGTGGAGAGCTAATCGCGTCGCGTGACCTCAACTAGACCGGCGACAGTTCGTTTTTGAACATTCGTGTGTTCAAATGTTAAAACTCCATGGCGTCAGTGTAACTAAATAAAATGTATTCCGACAGGTGTTAACGAATCAATGCTTCGTCGGTAAGGTTACGTGAAGCCTAAATCAGTAATGTTATATTCAGTTTTTATTTTTTTTTCTAAAAACGCTATCCACCATCCAGCACACTTGCTTGCTATTTCGAAGTATTTACTGATTGGTAATTTTGCTTTAATTACTATGCATATGCAATGTATATCTTTTGAATAAAAATTTTGTAGTCTACGATTGTCACAAATGGCGTGAAAGTATAGGTGAAAAGCTTCCTGCATGTTTTGTGGGTTTGTTCGTTTAACGCGAAACAATTTTTATACCTATATATTATATATTTGACTTAAAGTTTCATTATATTATATTTATTATTAATTTGTTTTGTTATTAACAATTTCATAATGTAAAATTTTCCGAAGTGGCGTTTGTCAGAGCAGATTTAAAATGAATGTAACATACTGCTGCTTCCGCAATAAATGCACGTTATAATAAATACAATAATTTTCATCACAAACGCTAAGAAACTAATTTTAAACATTCTACCTTGCAATTTATAATTCTGTTAAAAGGGAACCTGTAACCACTGAGGGTACCCAATTTTCTGAATACCGAGTTTAAGGAATAAAGGTCTAGAGAATAAGAACTACAACGGTCTGGCACAAAAAATTCAATAGGCCGAATACTGCCGGTTGTTTGTAAATAGGCGGCAGGTAGACGTTGTAGGTGTATTTACGGGCTCAAAGGTTTTGAGATTTTTTTACCCCGATCTGCCGAAATACAAAAGCTGTGAGGGCAACGGAACACCTTTCAAAATTCCCACTGTCAGCATTCAATACAATCTGGGATGGTGGTGCACATCAGCTAAATTTGGCCATGGAATGTTTTATGTGTGTTGTGTACATAAGAATTTACCGTCTCGTTTTCACAATAATCTTTTTAAAGGTTTTAATTTAAAACGAAAATTTTATATGTACGCAATCATTACGAATTTGAATATTAATGTTAGAAACTAAACGTTTTACGAAAACCCAGGCACATTGTGACCAAGAAGCTAAACGAAACCGGTTATTTCACTTACGGATAAAAATGTATACATACGTAAATACTTTTCATTTTACAAAGAGCGCTAGCGTACCATCCCTAACTATATACGTACATAACCCAATATAATGTGTAACCCCGAGCAACAAGTGGTTCATATGCAATGTAAAACACCACAAAAACCGTGAGCAGGTAGCGTAAAAGACGAGCAAACGATTTATAACTATGTGAATTAGCTAATAGAACCGGTTTTGCCCCACTACAACACATGAGCGTTGATCCAAAGCTGTCCGTGATATTGTGACTTATTACAATGGCACAAGGTATGTTTCTAAGTGTAAAACGGAAGAATAATATGAGCCATACCAGTCACACCACTTAACTGCGTCTGTTCTTCACCCCTGCTGAGATTTGAAAAGGATTTGTCAAGCAATAATATAACTAGCTGTCGCGTGTTTTGAAAAATAAAATGTATCTAAATTATGTATGTGAAGACACCATTTAAAGATTCCTATAATATTCTGGACCATATAAACAAAATTTAAAAGTTTGTATGTGAATTAAATATTCCATGAAAATAGTAAAACTTATGAAACATTTTTAACTCCTCACAAGTTTTGATAAACGAAACAAATTGCCATTAATCACTGTGAAGTTTAACTCTTGAGTCCAGGAATAAAATTTCTCAAGTCTTATGGTGCTCACTTTTACTTTTCTAAGGAAACTGGCCGTGCGCCTAGCCAGATCGTATTCACGATTCCTCAACACTTCATGAGCGGACAAGTCCCGCCATTAAAACATCGGCACGCAACACTTGCAACTAGTTTTACTTATTTTCCGTATAATGTAATTATGGAGTTAGGAACCATTGGGCAGTAAAAGGCAAGGGGAAATTCAACTTACCTTGTACAGCCATGTTTAGCTTAATATGTACCTGGTTGTGTACCTGGCAGGCACTACACGAAGTTTATGACTAAGATATTTTGTGCAGATAGGCATAGTATAGGGATTTAGATAAAATTTACACTATATAAGGATTAGTAGACATTAAACGACACGCCTCTTGGTACAAATGTTGGTTCTCACTTTTTATTAATAAAAAGTAGCACACTATAGATACTTATAAAACAAGTATAAATGTAACGACTTTTTTAAAATTACGATTACCGTTACATCTAAACAATATAAGATCTATAGACGCTTTTAATATTTATTAAACCTAAGATGAGCAATTACTTCACCATTCAGTAAGTCTTGTAAGCACTGATGAATATCTATTACAAATAAAAATATTTTTAAATAATAAATTTTGGTAACTGTTATCTGATATGGTGAAATTAAAAAATGGTAAAGTTTTCCCACGATTGAGTATTTGATAAAAGAATTCTATGAAGTTTATAATAAAAAGGGAAGGGTAATAATGCTACCTACAACATAACTCAGCTTCGCAGCAACAAGTTCTTTTACAGCGCAATCATCGGAAGAGAAAACTATTTTCATTTAGTTTCCTAATATTGTACTTATTATTTTTAATAAAATAATTATAAAGCAATTTAAACATTTATGTGGATTTCATTATAGGGAAGAATGAAAAATCTCAGCGCAAACAAAACTTTTCTAAATTGTATTAGATCAGCAGGTACCTAATACAACCTAAGGAATAATGCTGTTGGAAGCAAAGTACAAAGTATTTTATAGATGAAATGAAAAGTGAGCTAATATATTAAAAAAATATTAATTTAGAAACATGATGAATGTTTTTTATATTTAACACGTGGCCGATAAAACGAAATAGACGGTAAAGTAAATTAGTTTCAGTGTTAACAAAAATTTACCATTTTATATTTCTACGGTATTTGGATAAAAAATTGTAATAAAATAATTCATACCTTCAAGAACAGATCCCCAAAGTCATACAGAGCAGACTGATGCATTATGGCAGTAGACATTATGTAAAGTAAAACCAACTCGACACTACTTTTGATCCAGGTTTTTTATGCTTGTTTTGCGTAGTCGGCAAACTGATCCACTAAAGCACGTATACGTTCGAAGAACTCACTGCAATTTTGTACTATGTGATTGATAAGTCCACGATGGTTCAACAAGAATTTAAAAGATTCTCTGCAAAAAGTTTGTTCGAGATTACAATAATACGAGGAATCGTTGCGTTTTTGTTTTTCGTTCGGTGACCACAGATTGAGTCCGAACTAGTTGGCCGAGGGCGGTGATTTTTTTTTCCTGTGCCCTCCACGATTAAGCCAGAACAGATATTTTTTTTGAACACAATTTCGCAATTGTTGCGAAAATGTACAAAACAGTCCTTTGTTTCGAAAGTCTTCTTCACTTTTATTTTTCGCGTCTATACGGAAATACACAAATATCGGTCAAAACTCTGCGCGAACTACTTCAAATAAACTTTGGACATTAAATACTTTTTATTTCCCGACTTTATACTCCAAAATGTTTTTATTCTGGCTGTATAAATCGCAAGATATAAAAAAATAAATCGTAGTGTCAACGTCCGCGCAAAACGCACCACACGTTCATTCCGTATCACGCTTGCTCGCGCACTGAACAAGACTGCAATTCGGTTCGCCCGTGACTTGTGAGCCCGCTGCGGGCGGGTGGATTTTGTTTTCAAATCAAACAGCGCGATCACGTTTTGGAGCGAGATTCGTTTTCCATTCGGGTATTCTCGGCTTTTATCGGTTCATTTCGGCAGATTGTTGTTGCGCCGGATCCCACAACAAAACTCACTCACTCATTATGGACTATGGAGGAGTTCTTCTTTTAATATTACTAATTTAAGATAAAAAGATGCATGCTGTCAAGTTTTAAAAAGTAAAACGTTAGTGATATAATTAATTAAAAAAATAAAATAATACTAAAAACGTTAATGATGTAATTCAGTAACTTATTTATTCTCATCATAGAGATTTCGTGTCACGTTAAAAATTCGTGGCCACTTTTAAAAATACCTAGCAATATAAATTTCGTCAATGTGTATTGATCATAAAATTCAAGTTGATGCCTAATTACGCCTATTGTTATTTTAAAATTTATAGTTATGTATGGAGTTTATATGTTGAAAACTAAAATTAAATTGCCTTTAATATTATATTTTAATTCGCTTTTTGTCACAAGCAATGTTAAGTACTTAATTAAGTTATTCGAATATTTTAAGAAAATTTTATAGATGGGAAGATTTTTTATACTTGAACATAAACAAACATAGGTCGAGCTTTTAGCATGTTCAAATAAACTATGAGCTTGAATTATTCAAATTCACCGTATCAAAATTATACGTTTGTATTTGTTGTTCAGGAATATATTCTACGGCCTAGCATATATCCGCTTATTATATAGAATTCGGCGATGAAGTGCTAAAAAATGAGCGGCCAGAACGGGGAACAAATGCAAAAAGTTGTAATTTTAGAGTTGGCTCGCCTCGACTAATGCAGGCCCGCTGCTTGTGTCCGCTTTGGGATAGCTATAAGATAACAAGAGGAGCGATACAACGAAATCTTTTGATTTTTTCCATTTGAACGTTTGATTTTTAGGTGAAAATGAAAACCATGCACTAAATAACACTTACAGTCTCATTTCATATTTTTGCTTATATAGTAATATGCAACCTTAAAACAAGGTTTTTTTTTTGAAACTACATTTAATGTACTTTACACAATGTACTTATGTTAAACATAGTTTGCATAATATTTTTAAACGTAGTCAATTTAGAAAGTGTTATTAAATTGCTATTTCATTATTTTCTGAGACTTCGCTTGTGACTGACACCATTGTAGCTTGCCACTGCGTCCCTCGAGTGAGCAACTTTTTATTATGGCATTCGTTGCAAACCCGTTTGACGGTTTAGTGTTATGCGCTATGTTGCACCAACCTTACGGGAATTGAAGTTGCGCAGAGGATAGACAGACCAAGAAAAATGGATTTAAGACCTGATACAGTTTCTTGTTACATCATACATTTTATGTTGTAATGTTAGCTTTATAGGATAGCCTGATCTGTCGAAGGATATTTTAAGGCATATAAAAATATACGAACATACCTGGACTCGATACAACTGTATAGATACGACCAAATACCAATTGAAATCACATTAAAATAACAAATCATAGCATACAAGATTTATAAGCAGCACCGTCTTTACTATAAGGGCACAAGGGGCCCGTGCTCAGGGGCCCCTGAAATGCCGATATGATATCTTACGCTATACAGTATTTTTTATACATTTTAGGTCAATATGAAATATGATAAAATTTTAGGGATAATTTCCACGTTTCTGAATTGAGGTATTTGGTCATCCCCGTATGCAAGAAACGCTTTTTCCAAAGATAGAAATTAGTTTTAGTTTTAAAAATTAATCAATTAATTTGTAGAGTCTAAAGAAAACGCCTTAAAAATATGTAAAAAAATTTGTAAAAAAAGTCCCAAAATAAACTCTCACAGCCCCAAATTTTATTAGTTAGTATGACGAATTTACTATATTATAATTATTTTAATATTACATAATATCAGCATATGTTTGCTGAAAGGTTTTTATGTTATGTTTTTAATGAATACCGAGTGTTTATTTTAGAGATAAAGCTTTATAAAAATCGGTATATCCGCCGAAAAATTTAAAAAATTTATTAAATTCATTAAAGAAAATGAATACCCTGCTAAAATACACCTCGGAAAAAATCATATTGTTTGATGAAAATGCGAATTGCGCTCATATTAAAAAATAACACATTGACTAACGCTGATTAACGCGGTTTCTTCGTTTGAAGATATTAGGTACGGATTTGCGTAATTAGAATATAATATTTCCTATACTTGCACTAAATTGAATGCAAGTCCAACGGTCTCTCGTGGGAAATATTCTGTAATGCGAGTTGAAATGTGTTACGCGTCTTAGGGTTTCAGATGGGAATTTATAAATATTAAAACATTACATGAAATGTTGCGAACCACATCGAATTACAATAAAATGTACTTTCCAAAACGGTAATTCTTCGCGAGTAAGACATATATAAAAAACGGAATGCTGGAGAGCGCCATAACATTTTAATCGGTGCCAGTGCCATCTCTTTTACAGGTTTTCCCAGGAAACTTCCATGAGGGAAAACATGGTTAATTTTCAACATTACGCACAAAATATAAACACGGATAATGTTAACCGTCGAGAATTTAAATGTAATAAAAATATCAAAACGTGTTTATGTTAAATATTGTGTGATATTTGAAGTAGGTTCTATGTTATAAAAATGTTGTCAAATTTTGTACGTATTGAAACTGTTTCCGATTGAATTTTATATTCTATTTACCACTACTACGTGCCATATAAACAATTGTCTTATTGTTCTTCAAGGCTATCATTTGAATTTGAGGTACATTTATAAAATTCCATGGTACACATAAAAATAAATATTTATTACGGAACCGCTAGACCCATGAACAATGACTATACATGACTGTTTTATATAATGGGTCAGTGTCGAGTGACGGTCACGTAGTGCTTACTCCTAAAGTTATGGCGCTTGGAAATACAATACATTGTATGCAAACACGCTTTGTGATGGTGCCTATGGTTACAAATAAATAATACAATTAACGGATCAGTATTTTGTTGTTTGCGAATAATTAATTTGAAATACAAAGAGCAAAATGGAAACCGGTCAATGAAGAATTCGTTTAGCCCTAAAAGAAACTTGTCTAACCGGGTACGAATACAATATACAGTTTACTAGAGCTGCGAAACTGTAAAATAATATGTTTTGTACTATATAACTGCATAGTTGTATTATTACTTATATTAATTTACTGCAGTTTTAACTCAGCAAATGGTCCACAGCTAGTTACAGTTACGGAACAGTCTAATCCTGTCTACAAATTTACGTTAGGTTCAATAGTGATCCTTCCCAGTAATTAGCTATTTATTCATCATCAGTGTTTCTTTCCACCGACTTCAAAAAGGAAGTTCCTAAATAAGGTTACAAATATAAAAAAAGGCATACAACCGAATGCTTTTTTTATATTTGTAACCTTATAACTCCGTCATTTCTGAACCGATTTTTAATATTCTTTTTGTATTCATTTCTCTTTATCTCCCACGTGGTCCCATATTTATTTCTTTGGTATTGGAACTATAAGCCCGGAGATATATCAGGAAACTCCTCAAAATCAAATAGTTCAGCGAGTGAGAGATTTGAGTGAGTTTTGTTTTTTTTGTTACTCATGATGTTTTACTAGTTGTCATTTTATTTGAAAAAAGTATTTGGGTCAACGCAATCCCTCAGATAAGACGATATGGGCCGTGACTATCACGTTTCTAGACCTTATAACTAGTCAATAAGTGCCAGTAATATTAGTTTGCATCGACTGGACTCTTAAATATCTACTTAAACACAGCTGGCGACTGAATGGGGCCTTGATTAATTCAAACTATTTGGCTTTGAAACCCGAAACATTGACTCTGCTAAGTCTAATAGTCAATTAATTTGACTTTCAATTTTAACTATAGACTCCGTACAGGAGTACTAAGGTATAATAAATTAAACGGAATACGATTACAATTCTATTTCTAATTCATCTGATAATGATACGATAAATTTTAAATACTTAGTAATTGATGTGAGCCCTCTGTTAGTTATTGTAACATTTTAATTAATTTGTTGTTGTTTTTTTCGAAAGCTATAACAAAAACATTTCAATAAATTTACCATAATTAAAAATAAAATTACTCGATAGAGACGACTTGAATTTGCTAGGAATCCTAATAATAATTAAAAATATGATTATTTGAACAATCGCAATAACATATTTTTTTATTCCTTTTATAGTGTTTATATTTATTATAATCAACTAGTTCTAATTGCCCCTTAAAAATCGAAACTTGATTACACCGATGTTTAAACCAACTAACCAATGTTAT